GTTTTCTCAAAACCATTTATCCATCTATCTTGATTTCGAACTTTTTATTTCACAGTGAGAAACCAAAATTTATTTTCTGCAATGTATTTACTTTTTTTATTCAGCAGACTCAAAATACCTAAACAGTACCTCTGAGAGAAACAAACTTCACCAAGAACATATTGTCTATACCATACTAGCTGAGCCAGGGTGGTCCAAAACATCACTGAGGTGATGTCACACATTTGTAATTAACAAGGATCATGCGTTCCATCTGGGTTCTTTGACATACTGGCTAATTTGTCAACTTTGATTAAGTTGTGCTCAGCTGAGTCCCATATTCACCACATTCCTTACAGAGCAGCTCAATGACCATTACTGTTCCCAGGGAAGTCCTTTGTAGCCAACCCTGGCTACCACTGTCCACGATGAGTTTCTTTCTTTATTGAGATGGAATTCACTTACCATACTCATTACCTATTTAAAGTATAATTCACTAAGTTTTGATATATTGCATGATTAATTTTTAAAACTGTGGTAAAAAATACATAAAGCTTGCCATTATAACCCATTTTGAAGTAAAAAGTCCATTGATATTTAAGTGTATTCACAATGTTATGCAACCACCAGCATCAATTTTCCAGACTTTCTCATGACTCCACAGCAACTGGTAATTTCTTAAATAACAGTGATTCGGGGACATTTCACAGTGTTTTATGTGCACACAGGGAAATGCAATTAGTATAAAAGGAAACGGATGGTCCCATTGACAAGAAGTTTTAAAACAGGCAAAACTGATGCCTTAAAGTAAAAAAAAAAAAAAAAAGAAAAGAAAACAGCAATTCTGGGGGTGCAGTTGGGGTTTAGCAAGAACAGGCCTATCTTAGTTCCAGAAGCTGTAACAAAGCACCACAGATGGGGGGTTTAAACAACAGACATTTATTTCTCACAGTTATGGAGGCTGGAAGTCCAAGATCACGATGCCTCAGGGTTGGCTTCCTATGAGAGCTTTCTGTCTAGACTGCTGATGGGTTTTGCAATAGAGAAGAGATGGGACCAGGCTGTACCTGACTTTCCCTCTCAGTCTCTGGCTCAGGTTCAAACTATTATCATGTGGGAATAAAAACCTTGGGATCAGGATTCCCACCCTGTCTGTCCCCTTGCTGGAAGTGGGTCCTTACTACCAGGAGTAGGGGCCTGAGGAAACTGTATTTGGAGCGCCCTCTGCTGGTGGATATATCCCAAGGCGAGTCTGAGAGGTTTGGTCTCCAAAGTTGAGTGGGGGCAGAAAGGTGCCCCTCCTATCTTGGGGGAGGGCAGAGTACAAAACAGGGCAAAAGTTGGTTAAAGCAGAGGTCTCAACTGTCATTCCTGGGGCAGCTTGCTTAGTGATCAATACCTTGTTTAGGTCTCTTTAATGTGGTCAAAATTTAAAAACATATCAGTCAATACAACTTCTGATCTTCTTTAAAATCAAAAGATCAGCCTCTCCTGTACCCATAATTCCTTGTGTGTAGTTGGAGAGAATGATGGGTGTGTGCTGTCCTGTTAGCCAGGCACCCCTCCATCCCTCTTTCCCTGTACCACCTGCCTCATTTAGTCACATTTGCTCTCCTAGTTCTATGGATATTTGTACGCTCTCTTTGACCATCCAGAGCCTGGCATCTTTATCCATTTGGTGGGTTGGGAAGCCTCTATACTTATACCTCCAAGGGCTACAGTCTCCGTGTCAGGAAAGCTATTTATCCAGACAGAACTAGCTCAGTGGACCTGCATTCCCTCCCAATACCAGACAGAGGACTCAGGGAAAGACAAGTCTTCTGAGAGATCTGGCTCAGCTTTCTTTCTTTCTTTTTAAAAAAGATCTATTTATTCATGCATACAAGAACTGGGGTGTAGGTCAGAGGTGTGGGGGTGAGAGAATTCACCAGAGACAGAGTGGGGAGCGGAACAGGTGGATTGGCTGAAATACAATGCTGAGGGGAGCAGTGGGCGAGGCAGGAGAGGTCTGCTGTGTCATGTGGGTCAGTTTCTGGCTGTGCCGTGTGGGTCACCTCCCTGGCCAGCTGGGTATCAAACTCACTCGCAATAACTTGATAGTGCTGTCTTCAATCCTTGTGCCACCAAGGAGACCTCATGGCTTAGCTTTCTAGGAGCACAGGCTAACTGCTCAAGGGTTCTTTAGCAGGGTCGTGACACTGTTGATGTCTCTGGATCCTGCTAACCTCCAGAAGGTGCAGTTCAGTTGTTAGGGACAGGCCCCAGCTGGAAGTCAGGGAAGGCTTTCCAGAGGAGGTGTCATGAGCTGAGGGACCATGGCAGTTCTGGCCATGGCGGCTGTAGTGCTGGGCAAGGATGAAGTCACAGGCGGGAGAAGCTGGGGTCAGACGAGATGGGAACTCAAGCTGTGTGCTGAGGGCAATGAGAGTCATGGAATAGGCAGAGCAGGAAGCTTTGAGATCATCACTCCTTTAACCCATTTCACAGATGGGGAGATTGACAACCAAGGACACAGTGGGTCTGAAACCCCAGGTCTGATCTGCTCCCACAGTAGCTGTAATGTGGAGTGGGCAGGGGGCTGATAGCTCCGAGCCAATGGTCAGGGAGTGGGAGGGACATGTATGTATACAAAGCATCTTAGTAATGTGTGTACACACATACATACGTGTCTTTATGTGTGTGTATATATGATCTGGACTTTTGGACTTAATCCCTCATTTGTTAAGCAACCCTAGGCAAAGTCTCTCATTTTCTCTGAGTCCATTTCATATCTGTGAAATGGGTCTTGCAGTTTGATGCTGGCATAGAGCCCAGTGAAATTCAGAGGCAAGTGCTTCTCTGACTCACAGCTCCAGCTCATCCCAAGGCCCAGTCACCCCTCAAGAAAGGAAGCCTGGCATCTACTCACACTTTTCTGTTCTCCCACCTTGATTACTATTGGGGAGGCGGGATTCATCAGGAGGGGAGCCTTTTATCTTCAGGGAAACTGAGGCTAAGAGAGGGTGAATAGAGTCCTCCCTGGTCGAGCAATGGGTTAAAACACAGCACTGTGAGGCTATCTGCAGCCACTGCAGCAGGAGTTCGATTCCCCACCTGGGAGGTGACCCCACAGCACAGCAGACCCTTCCTGTCTCGTCACTGCTCCCCTCAGCAGTGCACTTCATCAATCTGCCTGTTCTGCTCCCCGCTCTGTCTCTGGTGAATCCTCTCACCCTCCTGCACCTGTGGCCTGTAACCTAGCTCTGTATGCATAAGTAAATAAATATTTTTAAACAGAGAAAGGGTCTCCAGCATGAGCAGGGGACCCCCATGGGCTCCAAGCCCTTCTAGAGCAGGACAGCCCACTCCCCAGGCCCAGCATCCTCATTCTGGGGTTTAACCCCTTTCCTGCCACCCGAGTCCTTCCCAAGGCAGGGCCCGGTCAGGGAGCACGTCCATCCGCTAGCCCCCAGGCCCTCCTGGCTGACACAAAAGGCCAAATGTCTCACAGGAGGGGCGGGAAGGGGCTCCTGGGCCAGCTGGGCCAGGACACAGTGGGGAAATGAGCGGAGACAGGAAGGAAGCCGCACTGCTGGAGTCTGGAGCCCCCATTGTCTCACCTGGGGGTGGGGGCGCCGTCCTCTCCCCTCTATCCTGCCCAGCTCTGAAGGGCAGAGGGGTGCCTGGGCTCTCCTTTCAGTGGGCCCCACCTATTGCTGATTTTGTCTCCTCCAGCCTCAGTTTCCCTGTCTGTAAAATGTTAGTGGGCCAGATGTTTGGCTAGAGCCACGCACTGCCTGGGTGACCAGGCAGGTGACTTCATGACAAGGGCAAGCAGCCCTCTACGTGCTCCGCCTGATTCAGCGCGTTTGAGCCTCAGGATTCCCTTTAAGCTGAGGACTCCTGTTGTCCCCAAAGTCCGGAACTTGCTCCAGGGCACCCATGGGGGCTAGAGAGTGGGCTCTCAGACCCAAGCAGCTGGTTCCAAAGCCAGGACCTTACCCACACCGCCCGACCTGTGCTTCCACTGAGCTGCCGCTTGTCTTTAAATAACTCACTCGGCTAGATTAACTACCTGTAAAGCCTCATCCTCAGCCTAGTGGCATCACCAGTTTAATTTAGATAGTAGATCGATAATAGGTGAGGGAGGTAAGGTGGATGTGTGGATAAATAGGTGGAGAGGTTGATAGATGGGACATTTACACCTTCACACAGATGGATGGATAGATGGGTAGATGGATAGATGATAGCTAGCTAGCTAGATGATAGATGGTGGATAGATGGACAGATAGATGGATAGGTAGATAGTAGACAGAGAGATAGATGTTAGGGTGGCTGTATAGGTATCTGGTTGGTAGGCTCATAGGTGATTAGATGAACGATGATAGTAGGTAGAGATGAATGGGTTGTGTGTGTTGATAAGCCATATTAAAATTAACTTATTGTTCTGAAAACTACCAAGAAGTCTTCTATGAGCCCCTAATGTCACCACATCACCCATCTTTGGGGGTCTCAGTCTCCACCATCTGGAGGTTCTGTCCTCTGAGGCTAAGCTCCTTACAGGCGCGGGCTGGGGCTCAGATGGAGAATGTGGCAATGGAACACAGCTGTGAGCAGAAGGACTGGGGTCTGAAACCAGGGCTGGAGATCCCCAGCTGCTCTCACTGTCCCTGATAGCTCCCACACCCTTCCTCCCCCTGCCCACCCCCCTTGTACACAGGAGGGGGCTGGGACAGGGACACGTCTCACTACCAGGTGGGATGAGGAGAAACAGGAAGACCCCTGCCCTCCACCCAACAGGAAGCAGGGTGAGGAGGAAGCTTCAGACTGCAGAGTGCGGACTGAAGACTGTCCTACGCTGGGTAGAACCTGCCCCCAGAGGTCAGACTGGAGCAGGGAGCCCAGGGCCTCAGCAGGGACTGGCAGGAGCCCTTCCCATAAGCCCGCATCTGTCTCAGATGTCCCAGCTGTCTAAGGCAGCGTCTTAGCGCCCGCCCCACCCCCACCCATCGCACACTGCTAGACCCCGCATTCTGCTCAGACTTTATTGAGGGTGACACTGGAGTGGGGGTTCCAGAATAACAGATCCCTCCCCCAGCTTCCCCAGAATGGGGCTCCGCTGGTGCCCCATGGTGAACCAGTCCCATGGTTCATTCCTGGGACTTTGGGCACAGCTCAGGAGCCCTCATCCTGGCGATATCCAACACATGCAGCTCAGCTCCTGTACCACCCGTGGTATAGACTTGGAGGGGGTCTTTAGTGGTCCCCTCTCCCAGAAGACCCAGCAGACAGCTCTCTGGGCTCTTGGGGTCCTGGGATAAGGATGCACAGCAGAGCTGGTAGGAGTGGGACATGGTGCCTACGCCCAGCTCAGGCCTCTCTGGGCCAGCTCTACCCGGGCCAGGCAGTGGTCACTCAGCACCTGCACCCGGGTGATGGTGGCCAGCAGCGAGTGGCGGTGCCTGAAGGGTAGCACCTGCTGCTCCTGGGCGTGGACGTGGAAGTGCTCCAAGTCCGAGCTGACCTCCAGCTGTGTAAGGAAGCCAGTGGCCCACGGTCTGTGTGCAGCCTGGACCCTGGCCCTGAGTCTCTGAAGCACAGCCACCCACTCCCCATCACCCTGCACTGTGTGGAACCCCCATCTGGCAGCCCCCTCCTCTCTCCCAAGAGTGGGTGTCTGACAAGCATCCCATTGCACAAGTGGAGAGTCTGAGGGGGGTCTGATGCTGACCCAGCAGTGAGTTTTGTTTTGGCCCCTTCACCAGTGAGCATCTGCTACAAACCTGCCTACCGGCCCCGGCTGGACCCCAGTACTTCTGGAAGCCAAGCTATGCAGTACCCTTTCCACCCATGCCTCCCCTGCCCCTGTGGGCTGCCCTGCCCCTCTCAAGGCTTCCTTGCCCCTATGGGCCTTTGCTACCCTACTCCACTGGCCTCCCTGCCCCCAAGGGGTCTCACCCACTCCCATTACCTCAAAGGGCTCCCGCAGCACCAGCGGGAAGGCACTGGACACCTCCTCCCGGCCCCAGCGGCCACCCTGGAAGGCATTGCCCACCAGGGTGGCTCTGGAGAACTGGGGCTTGATGTGAAAGGCGATGTCCCCCGCCTCGGACAAGAAGTTGATCTCAAACCTGGGGGGCACCACAAGGGTAGTGAGGACAGCAGGTGGCCAGTTACCCTGCCCAAAGCCAAGTTGGAAATGGGGAGGGGGGGCCCCTTACTTATCCTCTCCAGAGTCAGACTGTCCTTGGACCAGCAGGCTCCAGCCCGGGACAAGACCCTCTGCAGAAAAGGCTTCAAACTGCAAGTAAAGTGGACAGACACCGTGGGTCTGTGGCCTCCTCTGCCCTCCGAATCCTTCAAGCCAGCCTGCCCCACTCCTCATGTGCACACTTTACCCGGACCCCACTCTCCGAGCAGCACTGCCTTCATGACGGCCCTTCACCCCACACCCTCTCAACTGGGGCTCTGTCTGGTGGGAGGACGGCTCGGGGGGCCTGGGGAGCCCCGCGGCCCTGAATCCAGGGTGCAGCCTAGCCCTCCCTGGGTCTCGCTTACCTGCAGCGCCATCTCTCTTGGGTTCTGCGGAGGGCAGAGCCAGGCCAGAGGTATATGCAGTGTGGGGAGGTGGGGTGTGCGGGAGCCCAACCCCCTGGTGGCCTGATGGGCTGTTCCTCCCTTCAGGCACCAGGGATGGGCTGGCCCGGACCCTCCCCCACCACATGTCAGCGAGCCCACCCCACTGGACTGCCAGCCCAGCGTCCCCTCCTACGCTGCCCCCGATGGCTCAGCTGACACCCAGGGACACAGAGCCAGGATTAGGCTGGGTGCTATGGTCAGCGCTTTTAGGGGCCTGGCCAGGGCACAGGGTGGGGGAGGAGGCAGCTCTGCCCCTCTCCTCTGAACTGGGAAGGCGCAGCTGCCGGCCTTGGGGAGCTGCTGGGGGAGAGAGGCAGAGTCTCCTCAGGCCTCTGGGGCAGCAGTGGGGCCCTTCCAGGTGGACTATCCAGAGAGCCAGAGCAAGGCTGAGTGAGTGTGCGCATCAATGTCTGGGTGTACAGGTAGCTCGTGGTGAGTGTGCAGAGGGCGTGCAGTGCGAGCCAGTCTGGAGGCCAGTGCTCGGGCGCCTGAGGAGGTGGGCGCGCGTGTGTGTGGTGAGGGCACGTATGGGTGCGTGCGCATGTGTGGTGAGGGCACGTGTGGGTACGTGTGCAAGGGCTTGTGGGAGAGTGCAAGTGCGTGTGGCCCAGGGCCCCTTGCTGTTTCCCTGTCCCGCGTCCCAGGAAGACAGGCACCTCTCCTAAAGTTGGGATCCCCAGAAGTCCCCACACTCCAAGGGGCACCTGCCAGGACTGGAGTGCATGGGGTTCAAGGGCCCCATCCTCCCTGCCCTGCGCCCACCTGGCCTCTCCTGAGTGCTGCTGCCAGGCGTGTCCTGCTCAATTTGCTTGCTGGGCGATCCCAAGGCCTGCAGGGGGCTTGGAGATGCCCTATCTGTCCACTCACTGCTGGGTACAAGGGCCGTTGCTTGACGCTGCCCTCTTGTGGGGCCCAGGGCAGGGCTGGCGGGGCCTGTAGGGGCAGCCCAGGGAGGTACTGGAGCAGCAGCTGCCTGCTGTGGTGTCCCTGGTCAGGTGCTCAGGCCTGCCAGTTCTTTCCATGACCCAATCCTGCCTGGCCTTCCGGGCCTGCCGCTGCATTTCCTGGGCCCCTGCCTCCCACCAACCTGGGGCCCAGCAGGAGGGGAGCCCAGTCCTGCCTTCCCACCTCCCTGTGCTGTGTCCTGTCTAGGAGGTACGAGCTTTGGCTGCTTTTGACTGCTTTCGGCTGCATGGGGACTTAGCATTACGGCTCTGGGCCCAGAGCTGGGCCAAGCACACGGTCAGAGATCGAGAGTCGGCTTTTGACCTGGGAATCTTCAGCTGATAACTTCTGGGCCTCGGTCTCCCCCACTCAGCTGGGCTCAGCAGTCCTGCTCCTTTCCACACGCTCCCAGGGGCCAGGAGGGAAGGCTCTGGACACAGGACACAACCCTGGGCCACTGTCCACTTGTTTAGCTCCTTGCTTTAGGGCCTGCAGGGGCACTAAAGAGGGACTTCGGAGGCGGCTGTCTAGAGGGCCAGTTTGGCACTAGGGATGGCTCACTGGAGAGGAAGCCTGAGAGCTGCAGCCTGGGGAGCCCTTACCTGATGAGGGGGCTGGGGAGCCTGATTTGGGCAAACCTGTCCCTCTCAGAGCCTCATCTGGGCAAGGGGGCTTGTACTAAAGGCAGCCCCCAGGGCCGTGGGTCGCAGGGGTGTGAGCTTTACCTGTTCATGCCCACCTGGGCAGCCACTCAGACAGCCCCACCTGGGATAGAGCAGGCTCTGGGACCCCACCTGCATGGTGATACTTGTGCCTGGCATGAATGCAGACCTGGACAGGTCTGGGCTCTCACCCCACCTGGCTGTGGCTTGGGAACCTCTCCCATGTGGGGAGGAAGCACTGAGAATCACGGAGTAGGAGGGCTCAGAGGCCTCAGTGGGGCTGGGGGTGGCCAGAGGGATGGCAAGACCCTCCTGAGCTGGCCAGGTCCTGTGGGTAACCCCAATGTCATGGGGCTCAGGACAGACCCCAGCTGGGCCCATGGGTCAGATAGTCTGTGGTGCCCCCACCCTGAGTTGTTGGCCAGTCAGGGCTGGGTGCTGTGTTTAGGGCACCCCCTGCCCCCAAGCAGAGACCTGTCTGTCTAGATGTCGCCCCTCCCACTCCCGGATGTGTGGTTTTGCCCAGGGCTGTTGACTTTTACGGCTCTTAGAGAGGAGGCTGCAGGGTCTTCACCCTGCTCCCCTGAGGATCTTCACCAGGGTAGGGGGTGAAGGGGGCCCCTCTTCAGCCCTAGGGCTGCTGTTGTCAAGTGCCCTGCCCTGCCCTGGGCTGGGGCAGAGATGCTTGGAGGGGGACTAATTCTGTCCCAATGCTCAGTGGGGTGCTTGTGCTGTGCCTGGAGCTTGGCTAAGTGCTTTCATATGTCATCACGTTTACTGCACCCACACACAGGGGGAGGCGCTGTAACCCCCATTTTATAGAGAAGGATGTCAGGGCACAGGGTCACGCATCTTGGGAGTCAAAACACAGAGTGGAACTCAGCAGTCTGCCCCTTTGAGAAGAGCCCTCGCCAGGGCTGCGTGAGGGCTCCCAGGGTCAGCTTTCTGGAGGGAGCGGCTTGAAAGCGGAGTTGGAATAGAGTTGGAGGCGGGTAACAGAGGGTGACGTGGGTGAAGCCAGAGCCGGTGGCTAGGCTGGACCTGGAGACAGAGTGGCGCTGGAGGCAAGGGCTGGCCATGGGGCATCACGGTGGGTCTGACCTGGCTCAGCGGCCACAGGGCCATTGGACACTGTTCCCTGGGTGCACTTGGTGAGCTGGGCTCACCTTTTTGAGAGGGCAGCATACCTCTCAGGGCTTGAACGATAAAAGCCCAGGCTCACTGGAAGAATCCTGCCCCTCCTGTTGACTGAGGGAGGGCTGGTCAGAACAAGAGGGCTGCCTCTGGACTCGAGTCCAGGGCTCTTTCCAGGGCTCCCACCCAGCACTGAGCACCCAGCTTTACTCACCAGGAAAGGCGACGCCCGTCCAGGGCAGGGGGAGGCCTCAGGGTAAGGAGAGGAGAGCTCATGTTGGTCACAGCCGTCCGGCTTCTTAGCTGAACCCCGACTGTGTGCTTAGCTTGGTGCTGGCTGTCCACTCACTTATTCAGCAAATATTTGGTGAGTGCCTGCACTGGGCCAGAAGCTGAGCTGTGGTTCACAAGATGGACAAAGAGATGGACACAGTCCTTGCCCTCGTGGGGTGCCCGGCCTCTGGGGGGTGGGGGCAAGGTTAAAGATAACTCTAGCTCAGTGTTACTGAATCACCGTCATGCTAAACGCTCTGGAGGTGACATATGGGGAGTGGCAATGGCGTGAGGGGGAATCTGGTTGGTGTGAGCAGCCAGGGAAACTTCCTGGGTGAGGAGGCACTTGAGGTGAGCACAGAAGGTAGGATGGGAGGAAGAGTCACCATCAGGCAAGTGGAAAGACTGGGGTCGGGGGGGTGGGGTTGGGGGGGAGCTATGCACGTGTGAATGATTGAGGGGTTGGGACAGCTCTCTCCCCATTCTGTAGCCTGACTGGGGTCCAGGATTTCCAGCCCTCTATCCTGGCTACCTCCTTCCCTCCCCAATTTTGCTTGGCTTTGTTCCTGGCCAGGCTTCCCACCCTATGTCTGCATTGTCTGTGTCTCTTGTCTGCCTTAGAATCTCTTATCACCCAGAGAATCTGTTCATTTGGCTGCATTTTGGGAACTGATAAGGCTTTGTTGCAGCCATGCCAGGCAGGGGCTGCCAGTTCTGATGCCAGCCCTCTTGCCAGCATACACAGGTCAGCAGCAATGTGTAGGGCATTCCGTGTCAGGCTGGTCTCCTTCCTGAGTGGACCACACCAGACTTACTCCTGGGGTTCCACACCCTTCCCTCCTCAGAGTCCTGGCCTTTCTCTGGGTCTTAGGGTTCTCCATCTGAGGTGGCTGAGAGCCACAATGAACATTCACCCATGTTGGGGCCTCCCTGGTGGTGCAAGGGGTTAAAGCGCAGCACTATGAAACTATTGCAGCCACTGCAGGACAAGTTCGATTCCCAGCCAGGGTGGTGATCCACGCGGCACAGCAGACCTCTCCTGACCTGCCCGCTGCTCCCCTCAGCAGTGAACTTCGTTGATCTGCCTGTTCTGCTCCCCACTGTCTCCGGTGAATCCTCTCAAGTGAGCCCCCTGCACCTCTGGCCTATACCCCAGCTCTTGAATGCATAAATAGATAATAGTAAAAAAAAAATCTTAAAATAAAACATTCCCCCATGCGTGAGGCTGAGTCTGGGGCTGGGACAGAAACCAGGCTGGCTTTGTCCCAAGGAGGGGACACAAAGGCTTTCCGGGCCGCTGAGACTCCAGACAGGGCCTCCTGCCAGAAGGAGGGCAGAGCCTATGTCTAAGAACCCCCTGCTACAGCTCAAGCACCAGCCCCCTAAGTTCTTACCAGCACGGGTTGGGGGCATACTGACCCCCCATTTTATTTTACTTCCCAGTTTATAGACTCAGCAATGGAGGCTCTGAGCAGCTGTAACTGTCCTCGGTTCATGCTGCCAGTCTTTGATGAAGTTGGTGTTCTTCACCTTGACCTTTGCAGGGGTGATGCCAAGATTTGGAGCAGAGCAGAACCTTCTTGTTCCTCCCTCCCCCACCACCCCATTTTCCCAGCTCCCACAGCTTGACTCCTGGGTTCCTTTGCAATCTGCAGAGTAAATTCACAGCTCAGCTGGGTGAGGGTTTCATTACCATTTTACTGATGGAAAGATTGAGGCCACTGTGGGGCCAAGTGCATGTTTCCTTTGGGGGAGGTCATTGCTGAACAACACTTGAGGGGTCAACAACACTAGGGAGCCCAGTCAGAAGGAAGTGTCTGAAAGACTCCAATGTCTTGGTGATGCCACTTTTGGGGGGTTGAGGGAGAGGTGTCTCTAATTGTTCAGGGCAGGTTGGGACTTGGCTGGGGCCTTGGAAAATTCTTGGGCCTTGATTGATACCGGCAATGGGTGACTCTGGTAGCCATATTTAAGGAAGCTCAAC